CATCCAGCTCTACACCTTGTTATCTGCAAAATTTATTTGACATCTACTACTATTTTTAAATAACTAACTAGCTCAATGCTAAGCTAGGCTAGGCTTCCCCCTACAGCTCAGTGGTTAAAAGCACTGCCTAATTTCATGCTGAGCCACACGTATCAGGAAACTCAGCCTTTGTTTTATGCTGAGTTTATGCTGTATCATTTTACAGAAGTTGTTCATAATCACAAGGAAATAAAAAGCACTGACCAATCTGAAATGATTCAGCAAGAAAAGCAAGCAGGCGTCATAGTTGGAGTAAAGCAACCTGCTTGGTATTTCTGAAAATCTACAAAAATGCAGCTCCAACATCAGCATAGCACCCAATTCAGTGCAGCAGCATGTAAAAGATCCAGAAACCACCATGAAGTAAGTGACAACTCCATTTAGGGGCAGTATTGATACCACTCCCTGTAGTATACCTCAGCAGTTGTGATCAAAAAGGAGATTTACAGCTGAAGACAAGAGGAATGGCTAAGGTGTTAAATGAATACTTTGCATCCATCTTTGCCAGGGAGCAAGATATTGTGGAGATAATAGAGGAGGCATGAGGGGCCATAGGGGTGTTTGAAAGGTATAGCTTGGCACGGAGCATGAGGGGTCATATGGGGTGGGTTGGGTGGCAGGAACACAGAGAGGGAGACTTGGTCTTGCATGAGGACTTTTTAAATATACCTCTCATAAGGCTCCATTATACAGAATGTGGTTCTCAACACCTCCAAGATGCCATGAACCATAAGTTTTTCTAAAAAACTTGCATGTCTTCATGAAAATTGGACACCAATGCAATGGAGGCCACTAGGTCAGAATGATAGACGCAGGCTAGAAACCCCCAAACAAGTCCATTCCCTTAAAAGGCACTCCTGAAAAATCAGAAACCCCACTAATGTGATGCGGAATCCCAGAACTGCAATCTGCCTGCCACTTTTGAAGGGACTCCAAGTCATCCCAAAATGGAGAAAATCCAGGAATACAGAACTGTAATCCCACTTCTTCTGGTCTTAAATGGGGATAGGCTACTTCCACACATATCAACCCTTTCAACACAGTAACGTGTTGTGAAATATGTGAAAGATGAATCCTCTTACCCAATATAAAGTCTAGGAATTGCTATTAGCAGTAATAACATACAAATACTAAATCCATACATATGGTTGGCTTTTTTTTTAATTAACAGTGGCATCACCCATTTATTTTAAGTGGGTTTTCTCCTCTCCCAGATGCTGGTATTTAGAGGGGCAGATGTCAGCAAAGGCTCAGCACTTGTCAGCCTACTGTTCCATACTCCATGCTCTCTCTATCAGTCAACAGTGATTTAGTCGCATCTTATCTTTCATGTGGGATGTTAGCCATTTACTAGAAGCTGATATCAGTAGTTTTTTTAAAAAAAGATCACTTTTGATAGGACTGTTTAAAGAAGCACAAATCTTTGCTTCCTTAAACAATAGGAGATAAAACCAGTTGACAGCAACAGGCGATGGATGAGCAAGTAGAGCAACTGGTCTCCTTGGAACCTTAAGCACTTATGATGCCTGGTCCAATATCTTTTACAGTCATGCTTTTACCAGGAGGTTGGCTTTAATTTCTTACCCAAAGCTTTGAATTGCCTTTTTTTAAAAGAGATTTTCAGTATTTATTATGTGTGACATCTATTTTATGCAGGCTTCATGTGCTTGACTAATCCTTTCAATTAAAGCAAAGCTTTGACTGAGCACCATTTTGGAATTAGATAGTATGATTTTTCATTGGTCCTTGGCTCTACACAGCATGGAATTAGAGTATTACTGCCACCATTATCTTTCAACTAGGCAGCTTACTTTCAACCTTCTAGCGGGAGGCTGACAAGAAATACAGAAAAAGAGAACATCAGCTGCAACTTGGATGTCCAAAACTCACTTGATACAATTTCACATCTGGCTATTTCAAAGAATGGCCTGTTTGTAAAATTAATTCATGGACCTTGATTAAATTATTGAAGTAAAAATGAATGGATTGTGTATACATATGCTGTACGGTTTGTATCAACAGGTAGACCTTCAAAGGATCATATGTATGTATCACATTGCTTTGCCTTTTTATGCATTGCCCTCTCAGCTAGAGTTTAAAAACTTCTTTTGTGCCTTGCCTTTTAGCGTGAACACAAAACCAAAAAGCTTGTCGTTGTCCCGAACAGAGATCAATCAAAGGGGATGGATATGTTGCTGTATGGCATATAAATCTCACACTTGCATCATGAGGCAGCATGTACATGGCAAAATACAGCATGTACAGCAAACAGGTGGTCATGTCTCAAAGTCTAAGGAAATTAGTCCTCACTCAGGTCAAGGGATATAGCCTCCAGTTAGGGAGTCAATAGTCATAAGCAGCAAGTGATTTCAGTCTAGGGGCTTGGACATGGTCAGTTGGCCATTGGAGCGTTTATGATCGGGGTCCATATCACTGCAGCTTGTGGAGTTGGCTCCAGTTATTCCTACAGTCCAGGGAAGTACAGTAAGTCAGTCAATGAGCTGTATAGCTACCAGTCAGGGATCTAGTCAGTCATCAGTCAGGGCTGTGTGTTCAATTTGATTAGAGGGGATGGCATACAGACAGTCCTAGGGATAAGCTTAATGAAAGTCAAGGAGGCTTTTTGGAGTCAGTGCTGTGATAAGCAAATTGGAGAAGTCAGCTCTGTTGATTGGAGGCAGCCTGCTGGGATGCAGAGGGGACAATAATAGTGAAGGGAGAAACTCAACATTTAAGTAGGGAGAAAATAGTGAATTGGAGGATGTAGGTTACTGAGGAAGGGGGATCTCATTAACAATCACAGCACCATGGCTTAATGGGAGGACGGTGCAACACAATAGTTGGCATGACTAAACTCCAGCGACAATATTGGGAGATGAAGTCCTAATTTGTGGAGATGTTTGGGAACATGTGGAAACTCAGCACTGATGGGCTTTACAGGGAGTGCAAGAAAGTACAGTTTAAGGAGGCCAGGCTGAGCCTAAGACTCACCATGCTTTGTGTGATCTACATTACCTTCTATTACAATGAAACTCTTATTTGTGCACTGGAAATGGAAAATGGTTGTGACAGCTCCTCTTCTAAATTGAGCATCTTGATTATTCAGCCAATTTATGTTGGTTTTACCTAATGGCAAAGTACCAATAATCAATTCATTTAAATGCTGAAACACATCCTTTGAAAGAAATGTTCTATTTTTTGTCATGTAATGTGGAATATACAATAAAATTAAATAAAAGTTTGTGAAAATTAAAAACTGCTCTGTTATTTTGAAACAAAAATAGGCTAAAGGAGAAAATTCACTTTAAAACAGATTTTGATAGAAACTTTTTTGCATTTACTTTTAAAATGCATAAACCTTTTACGTTACAAAAAAGAGGCCTGAATAATTTAACTCATTTTATGTTTAAAAGAAGATTGAAGAATTTACTTCATTTCAGAACAAATTCGCTTATGTTAATATTCATTCAGGAGCCGATGCCACCTTTTGTACAAACTACACATTGCCAGGGTAAGTTGTAGAAGTGATTGCCTGTACGTTGAATTTCTTAGTAACAGATGCATTGGTTCACATTTTTGTTGAGCGATAATAGTAATGAGATAAAGATGTATTTGAAAACAGAAACGTTTTAACACTTTGCAAAACTTGCCCCACTTTTCCCCCAATATCAAAAGCAGTGAATAATTAGAATTTTACCTTGAAGGTAGGTGGCATTGAGAACGTGATGTATAAAATGAAACATGTTTTGTAGACCAACTGTCTGGAGAGACCACTCTTGTATAGAAATGCCTAACATCAATCCTACCAATGTATTCATAGTCCCGATTTAAATCTGTGTCAGCAGACAGCCTGCTTCATCAAACAAAAGGTAAGTTCTAAAGTTGGCCATTATAGATAACTTACAGTTCTGTGTTGGTTCCCATTAGGAGGTTTTTTAAGCTGATTTGAAACAAGTGCCGACACTCCTGAATTCCTCTCCCAAGTGTGCTGTAGTTTAGCTTTGTCAATAACATTTTGCAAACAATCGTTTTCACAGAGGACTGTTACTGTTCAGTTTACAGCAGGCCTGTCTTATCACTAATATAGTTAACATGTCAAATTACTAATGACATCAGGACTGGTTTGAGTGTAACTAATTTGACTATAAAAACCTATAGAAAGGGTAAAGAATGTGAGATGCAGGGCAACTGTTGCAGGAAAGTTCAATTCAAGGCAATAGTGGAGGTGAGAAATCGAACAAAGGAGGACATTGCCTTCAAATTGAATTCCACGTCCTGAACCCAGAGACCGATGCCTGTAAATGAGGAGACAAAAGGCATTAGCAGAAATGGTACAACTGCACATCCATGCACCTATTGGGCTCTCACCATGTGTCCGTACACTGCGGATTCAGACTAGAATTTGAAGAGATTTAGAAAAAAATGAAATCCAGTCCATCAAGCCTGCCCCTATTTACAACAAACTATTTACAACTTGCCTTTTCATGACCATCTGTACTTCATTTTAATCCGTGGAGGGAGATGAATAGTCAAGGGCTCAGCTTCCAAGAAGAGAAAGCATTTGGATTTTATCTCCAAGCTCGAAAGGTAACATAAGAACTAGGAGCAGGAGTAGGCCATCCGGCCCCTCGAGACTGCCCCACCATTCAATAAGATCATGGCTGATCTTTTTGAGACTCAGCTCCACTTTCCCACCCGCACACCATAACCCTTAATTCCTTTACTGTTCAAAAATTTATCTAGCCTTGCCTTAAACACATTCAGTGAGGTAGCTTCAACCGCTTCACTGGGCAGGGAATTCCAGAGATTCACAACCCTTTGGGTGAAGAAGTTCCTCCTGACCTCAGTCCTACATCTGCTTCCCTTTATTTTGAGGCTATGCCCCCTAGTCCTAGTTTCACCTGCTAGTGGAAACAACCTCCCTGCCTCCACCTTATCTATTCCCTTCATAATCTTATATGTTTCTATGAGATCTCCCCTCATCCTTCTGAATTCCAATGAGTATAATCCCAGCCTACTCAGTCTCTCTTCTTAATCCAACTTGGTGAAAACTTGTGAATCATTCCATGATTCAATCCTTATTAATTCCATTCCACAGACCAATTTCTGTTGTTCCCGCAAGGTCTGGAACCACAGTATTCCATAGTTTGCTCAATCTGCTTTCTCTATACTTATTCCTGTAACCCTTCAGCCCTTCATTAACAAGATAGTCATAAATCACATTCCAAAAGAAATCAATGCCATACATTAATGAGGGAAAAATTCTTTGAGCAGATAGAGTTAATTTCATTGCTAATTTCATATACAAGCCTTGCAATCACTGTTTAACTAATAATCTAGTTCTAACTATCCATTTCATCATCTCAAATTGTCCTTTAAATGTGTCCTTCTACACTCTTTTATAAACATAAAATGGATGTACATTTCATCTGTGTGTGTTTCAATTGTCTTACTTAGTGTTTGCATTACATGTGTTTACATTGAAATTTCTAAATCATATATGCACTTCTATTACTTGCATTATTTGAATGAATCAACTTTTATATCCATTACAGAGTACTTCCTATGCATTTTGATACACAGACTGTATCAATTGTAAACTGAGAAGGCAGGTATAAAATTTCAAATGAAACACTGCTAATGGGTGTATGACGGCTGACAATTAGAATGAGCAGTCAGGCAAAAAAAAATGCACCAGGGCAAAAAGAAATCACTGAAGATGCTTGCAATAACCTTTTTGGTTATCACTCTATATTTTCTAAGCAATTGTCTTTTATGGAAATTAAGGTTTCTAAACTAAAAAGGTGTTTGGTTTACAAAATGTACCATGTGATGATCAAACTTACCCACACAGTAGAATGCTGTGGATGTGGTCATGTTCTAAAGGTGAATGTTCATGAAATCTCCCTTCCAACTGGAATTCACAGGGATTCCCAGAGCTGTTAGTTTCAGCTGATTAAACTTACAAGGTTGTAGGCAGTAGTTCCCAGCAAGAGTTGGTGTCCACAACTTGCAGATTGTTTTCATCATTGGTAGCAAGATGGTCCATTCACAGTGTTCCAGCGGTGGTGTTTGAAAGGCTAGCTCCATCCTGAACCCTTTGATAGAATAACAATGAGCTGCAGACAAAACCATCAAAAATTAAAGTAAAAGATGAAGGGACTAAGTTTCCTTCAACTAAAACTCCTGCCTGAGGAATGAGCCAGCAGTAGATGCATCATGTGGGGTCTTCTCCCCATTTACCATGTTTATCTGTTAGATAGGCCATGGGGTGATTCCACCTCAAACAGGAGGAAATACTTTTAAATTTCATGGAAATAGCACAGGAGT